TGTGATTGTGTGTGTTTGTGTGTGTGTGTGTGAGTGAGTGAGTGAGTGTGTGTGTGATTGAGTGAGTGAGTGTGTGAGTGAGTGAGGGTGTGAGAGTGAGTGAGTGAGTGAGGGTGTGAGAGTGTGTGAGTGAGTGAGTGTGTGTGAGAGTGAGTGAGTGAGTGAGTGAGTGAGTGTGTGTGTGTGTGTGTGTGAGTGAGTGTGTAATATGACTAATAGTATATAGAAATAAACAGTAAATCTTGTTTAGCTGGTTTAACTATTCTGCAGAATTAAATTAACGTTTTCATTAAACTACTTAATGGAGGTGCACTGCCATTTTTTTTAAATTTTGTTATATACAGCGGTGGCCAAAATGATTAGAACACTAGTATTTTCAGCAGCTAAAAATGGTTTTAAGTCAGTTATTTCTATCTTTTGCTGGAGTGTGTCAGTAGTAAATATCAGTCTACATTTCCAAACATTAATTTGGCCATTAATTGTGATAATGCAGTGAGATGTTTGTGCTGCACACAGAGATGTGATCTGATCATCATCAGTATGTCTGTGATTACATGAAGAAACAGAACAAACTGAGACAGACTCAATCCAGAAGAACTGTGTCTCCGAGAAGCTTCAAGAAACCTCCTGCAAAGCTACAATGCTGCTAAACGTTTTAGGCACTTGTGTAAAAATGCTGTAAAATGAGGATGCTGTCAAAAACAATGTCATTCATAGATTTTCTTTATCAATTGGCTTCTATGAACTAAATTAAATCAACATTTGGTGTAAGCATCTTTGTGTTTAAGTAATCATTTTGGCCACCACTGTATAAAGCCTAAAATGCCCTTGTAGTAGTCACATATGCCACATGCATTGCAGTGCGGATGGGACGTACGAGGTGACGGTCTTCACAAACGCCATCGTCTTGTTCAACGGCAGCATCGCCTGGCTCCCTCCCGCTATTTACAAGAGCGCCTGCAAGATCGAGGTCAAGCACTTCCCCTTCGACCTGCAGAACTGCACGCTCAAGTTCCGCTCCTGGACCTACGATCACACCGAGATCGACCTGCTGCTGAAGTCCGAGGTGGCCAGCATGGACGACTTCACCCCCAGCGGCGAGTGGGACATCCTGGCTCTGCCGGGCCGGAGGACGGTCAGCGCTCTGGACCCCACCTACGTGGATCTGACCTACGACTTCATCATCAAGCGCAAGCCGCTCTTCTACACCATCAACCTGATCATCCCCTGCGTGCTCATCACCTCGCTGGCCATCCTGGTCTTCTACCTGCCTTCGGACTGCGGCGAGAAGATGACGCTGTGCATCTCCGTCCTTCTGGCGCTGACTGTCTTCCTCCTGCTGATCTCCAAGATCGTGCCGCCCACGTCTCTGGACGTTCCCTTGATAGGGAAGTACCTGATGTTCACTATGGTGCTGGTGACCTTCTCCATCATCACCAGTGTGTGTGTGCTGAACGTGCACCATCGCTCTCCGAGCACACACAACATGCCGGACTGGGTCAAGCTGGTGTTCCTGGTCAGACTTCCAGCGCTGCTGTTCATGCAGAGACCGCGGGGAAACTCGGCCCGTCGCCGTCTGCGGGATCCCGGATCATCTCTGCTGGGCTTCGCCGATCCTCGCAAATCCGGCATGTCGTCATCAGCCTCCGTGCTTTTGGCCGCATCCTCGGCGCTCTCGTCGCCCGGACACTTTTACAGCAGAGGACCTCAGATCCAGAAAGGAGATTTGCGTCCCGCTGGGGACCTGAGAGAGAGCAGGCCGGCTCCAGACCGGGGATCTGAGATCCAGGAGGCTGTGGACGGCGTTCGCTACGTAGCGGATCACATGATGGGAAACGACGACGATCAAAGCGTGAGTGACTTTATCGCTTCTCAGTTGCGCTACCATTCTGAAAGAGTCTCTTCTGCTCAACCAGGCTGCATTTATTTTGTCAAAAATACAGTAAAAATAGTGGACTATTATTACAATTTAAAAGAGCTATTTTCTATGTGACTATCTGTTAAAATCTAATTTATTCCTGTGATCAAAGCTGAATTTTCAGCATCATTCCTCCAGTCTTCAGTCAAGTCAAGTCACCTTTATTTATATGGCGCTTTTAACAATACAGATTGTCAAAGCCGCTTTACAGTATCAAATAGGAAAATAGTGTGTCAATAATGCAAAAGGACAAGGGCGTAGTTTTGGTTTGAACATTGGGGGGGGTTGAAGTGTGAACCGTTTTACATTCCTCCAGTCTTCAGTCAAGTCAAGTCACCTTTATTTATATGGCGCTTTTAACAATACAGATTGTCAAAGCCGCTTTACAGTATCAAATAGGAAAATAGTGTGTCAATAATGCAAAAGGACAAGGGCGTAGTTTTGGTTTGAACATTGGGGGGGGTTGAAGTGTGAACCGTTTTAGTGGAGTCCCGGGTCATGCCCCCTCATAAGGTTTATTTATTTGTTTGTTTGCTTAAATGTTTATTTTTGTAGAATGGTTCCTTGTGCTATCATCCACACATGCAATGTTGGTTGATAACATAACTGCAACTGCTTTAATAATCTATATAGCATTTGTTATGAAAAACAACTGCCTGCACATTTAGAAACAATAGCTACAACATGCCACAGTTGTGATATAAATATATCTAAAAATCTATTCCCTTAACAGATTATCTATTATACATTTTACAACAAGTTAGACAAAATTCACCACAATAATTAAGCCTACAATAAAACGTGATAAATTATAGTAAAGGTGGTCATGAGTAGTTTAAAAAGATTATAATAGGCTATATGTTAGTGCTGGTGCAAGATTGTTTTCTCATCTTTTCATAAGTCTTTTTAGTTTATGTGCCTTTTTAGATAATGTTCGACTTTCTCCATAGCATTTTATAGTGGCAATTTCTCAATAGAATTCAAATAGATCACACATTTTACCATCAGCTTCGCGATAGGAACGGCTCGCGCAAATCTTATCACACTTTTCGAGCGCGCCGGTGAACGCCCCCAGTAGGGCTGTCAAAATGACTGAAGCATTTAGTGGGTTCAACTGGATAGGCTAACAAAAGCATTCAAATGCAATCAATGACACACACATCGTCATCGCATCTCGTGCGCCACTGATAAGGCTGCCTGACGGCTGACGCAGACCTAAAGTTCGAATGCACCGTTTTTGCATTTGAAATGTAGATTTTTTTTTTTTTTTAATTCAACGAATATTCGCAATTCCAATTTTTTTTTGACAGCCCTAGCGCACAGAGTATACGGTGATTCACGCACTGCTCGCGCACAATTAAAAGAACTGCGTTTCAGTCATATTGGGCTGATAACTGCTCCGTTCGGTTTGTACGTGAAGTTAGCGCTTATAAAAGCGCCAATTAATAGCCTGATTCTAGGTTTCCATTAACCATGGTATAAATATTGGGGGGGGGTGTTGTACTTGCTAGTTTTGGTTATTGGGGGGGGTTATCTCCTCCCTATCCCCCCCACCAACTACGCCCCCTGCCACAT